GAACCCACCACCTTAGGTGTATGTGGCTGGCGCCTTAGCCGACTGAGCCACAGGCGCCGAGCCACAAGCAAGATTGTTAACTAGTTATTTCTTCTTAAGTTAAATTTCTTTTTCTCATAGATGGTTTAGTCAATCAATAAAGATTCTTGATGGAGCTGAAACATATTCTTCTTAGCAAAGTATCTCAAGAATGGAAGAAAAAGTATCCAGTGTACTCAACCCTACTATGAAACCATTTATAGCTTTCATATGAAGGCTATAACCCAATTATAGCCCAAGAAGAGGGGGAAGGAGAGGGAGGGTGGGTAATTGGTGGGAACACACCTATGGCGCATTTTACAAGGGTACATGTTAAATTTACTAAATGTAGAGTATAAATGTCTTAACACAATAACTAAGAAAATGTGGTGAAGGCTATGTTAACCAGTTGTGATGAAAATATTTCAAATGGTATATAAACCCAGCACTTTGTACCCCATGATTGCATTAATGTACACAGCTATGATTTAATAAAAAAAAAAAAAGAAAAAAAAATAAAGATTCTTTTCTCAATGATTATTTGAGAAGGCTTGGCTTGTTTACCATAGCGCTAGTAGATGGACAGGCAAATCTGCAAAAGATGTTGCGGTACAAATCAAAGGAGAAATGTTATACTCCTTTGGGGTATTTAATTTCTAAATTTAAGGGGAGGAGTTTTTAACCTTAAAAGTGAGACAGTGAGACATCAGTCTTCAACGTCCAAAGGAAAATAGATAGGCCATGGTTTAGGTTAGAAAGGGTTCCCAAACCATTTTATTGACCTAAGTAGTCATGCAAAATAACCAGCATCTACCAGGCCAAGTTACCTAGAGAAAATACAAATTAGAAGTCTGAAGTTTAGTCCCTTCCTAAATATTGAGGTAAAGACATGTATATCTCCAAAGGGTGATTCAAAATGACCCACCCACCCACAAAAGCCAAATCTGGCCCTCAATACTCTTTCCACAAAGAAGAGAATAAAAAAATAAAGGCTGCTGGAGCTTAGATGTGGATTAGTATGAAAAATAACTAAATAACTAATAACTAACTAAATGGCATTTGTACAGGTAGAAAGCATTTCTGTTAGGAGGTGGAAGGGGTAGGCAGAGCAGCTAGTTCTGAAAGAATGGCTAGGGGAAAACTAGCAAATACAGAGTGGGGCCAATTGTAGTTCCCACAATCCCTCTTGGGCTGTTGGGCACTGTACAGATAAGGAAAGCGCAGAGCAAAATGTCTCCTTGGAAGAACCAGATGACTTTCACAATCACCTGAAAATTTCATCCCTTATATAGCACTTTCACATGTATAATCTCACTTAACTGTCACAACAACCTGAACTAAAATCTGTATTTCTCAACTACTTTCTCTCCCAGTTAGACAAAACTAAGTCCAGGTAATAAAACCAAAGGTCAAATTCAACCAAGAGTTAAGCCACAGATACTCAACCCTAAAGACCTTAGTTGGGTTTCTGAAAATGATGAGGGGTAAGAAATATTCTTATCTCTACTGGCTTTTATTTTTATGGATTAAAACCAAACCAAAGAAGGCTATTTGGTGGAATCTGTTGTTGTAAGATTATAAAATCCAACTTTTTACCTACCTTCCCTTTGGGAGGCTCGTGACATGTGTTTCTCAGAAGAACTGGAATCACTATGATGACAAGGTGAACCAGAAACTCTAGGACCAGATGAACTTGATGAAGTGGTCAAATCTTAAAAATACAAAAAATTCTGACAATAAACCTAGCATAACTCTAAGTAGTAGCTCTTAACTTTTAAATTTCTACTTGAGCCATACTTTTAAAATGCAAATAAAATGTTCAAGTAAAACTGGCCTATAGGCCGGGCACACTGACTCATGCTTATGCACTCTGGGAGGCTAAGGTGGGTAGACTGCCTGAGTTCATAGGTTGAAGAGCAGCCTGAGCCAGAACAAGACCCCATTTCTAAAAATAGCCAGGCATTTTGGTGGGCTCCTGTAGTCCCAGCTACTTGGGAGGCTGAGGCAAAAGAATTGCTTGAGCCCAAGGAGGTTGCTGTAAGCTGTGATGCCACAACATGCTACATGGGTGACAAAGTGAGAATCTGTCTCAAAAAAAAAAAGGCTTGGCACCCGTAGCTCAGCAGCTAGGGCACTAGCCATATATACCGGGGCTGGCGGGTTTGAACCCAGCCTGGGCCTGCCAAATAACAATGACAACTATAACCAAATAATAGCCAGGTGTTGTGGTAGACGCATGTAGTCCCAGCTACTTGGGAGACTGAGGCAAGACAATTGCTTAAGCCCAAGAGTTTGAGGTTGCTGTGAGCTGTGATGTCATAGCACTCTGCTGAGGATGACACAATAAAACTATCTCAAAAAAAAAAAAAAAAAAAAAAAAACCCCAAAACTGGAAGGCAGCATGGATTTTTGAAGTGTTCTAACCTCTAGTCCCTGTCAAAAATGGTTTCTACTAAAAACTTGTTTACATAAAATAAAAATTAAAAAAACAAATAAGCACAGGAGTATCTCTAGTTCCCTATAATTTCTATACTAAGATGGAACACAGAAATTCAAGGAAAATGAAAATTAAACTCTTAAGCCTATTGTTTAATGTTATAATAGAGTCCCACACAGCCCCATTACTGTGAACGTGAAAAAATCTACATCTTTTTTTTCCCAGACAGACTCTTACTGTCACCTTAAGTAGAGTACTGTAGCATCATAGTTCACAGCAACCTCAAACTCAGGACTCAAGCTCAGCCTCCTGAGTAGTTGGGACTACAGGCGCCTATCAAAATGTTCAGCTAATTTTTCTATTTTTAGTAGAGATGGGGTGTCCCTCTTGCTCAGGCCAGTCTTGAACTCCTGAGATCAAGCAACCTACCCACCTCTGCCTTCTACAGTGCTAAGATTATAGGTGTTAGCCAAGGTGCCTAGCCTAAATGGATCCTCCTTTTAAGCATAGAAAAAACTCTCAAAATAAATACTTTACTTCTATAAATACTTTTTTTCTTTCAAAGAGATGAGATGAAGAAGATCTCACTATGTTGCCCAGGCTGGACTTGAGCTCCGAGGTTTAAGGGATCCTGCCACCTCAGCCTCCCTAGTACTAGTTGGGACTACAGGTATATGCCACGGTGCCCAGTTTATGTGAATACTCCTTGAAAAGCAATTCAAAACTTTACATTGAAATCTGTGGAAAAGATAAAATGAATATCAGACAGTAGAATTAAATATATTACTCCAAAGAGCAATTTCCATTTCATCATACTTCTATAGTTGCCCCACACCTTTGTTACAACTTCTTACCAATCTCATTTCCTATGATGTTATTTAGTGTCAGAATTGCTCTCAAGAGACTGAAAACCTTGGTTGTTGAATCAAAATAGACCAGCTAGACAGTAAGTATGAATTCTCATTAAGTTATACTTGATTATGTTTAACTTAAAAGGCAATTCTAAATCTAAAATCATTATATCTGCATATTTATGAAATTCCTTGTTTGCAAGTAAGTTTATAAAACTTTATTTTCTACTTTTTAGCAGTTAATTTAGGCAAGAGCAATACAATTATGCCCCCTCTATCCCAAAGGTCTTCAGAAATGGTCCCGTGCACACACAGAAGAAGATTCCAATTATTCAAAGCTGCCTTTTAATAGCAATATATGAATATTCAGTGTTTCAAATGCTAAAGTCTCTCTTTCTGGGTTCTTGTTCATAAGCACAATTTTTTTTTTTTTTTT